TTATTTGTGGATCGGTACTGCAGCTGCTCTCATTTCTATTTTACCAGTACCGTTACTCTCAGGGTGAGATTAGTCTGTCCAAAATTCCAAGTATTTTTAAATTATTTTGGGTTTTTATAATATATTATCTGCTGCGGAAACCATTTTAAAATTTTCATTTCCTGGATATTGCCACAATTAAAAGGTTGAATGTTGGCAGTACGTACTTTGTGGCATTACCATTCTGGTAATGTTTCTTTGTTACAGTTTTAAAGACATAGTAAAGCCTGCCCACATTCAACCCAAAACTGTTATACTGATTTCTACATTTATGTTTTGTAACTGAGAGTGTAACTACAGAGTTCTCTCAATATAACGGATCTCTATTATTTTGATCTGTTTCTTTCTCATTGGTTTTTTTTTCCTCTGTCCGTTTTCATATATTCTAACAAAATTCAATAATTAATATTGAAGCGGTCGACGACCTCAAATGCATGACCAGCTGTTAAAGTTTGAAAATCACCTTTGAATTGTTTGTTACATTTATACACACATATGCTTCCCTTCTGATTATACATTTAAATCATAGTACTAAACATAAAAAAAACTCATCATTTTGTATTAAATTTAATTCAATTAAAACAAATTTAATAATAATTAAGAGAACCTTCACAGAATTGTCTTAGAATGTAAATATCTTTATTTAAGGTTTTTCTGATATAAAATTTTGAATAATTTCTTTATTGAAATGTTGGTAAAATTTACCATGCTTTGAATTAAAACCGATTGTTTGACTTAAACGGCATCTGAAGTAAAGGTCAAGGGGGTGATCGTATGGGTTACCAGTGATTTATCGGTGGATACCGGGTAACATGGTTGGGAGGGCGAAAAAGGGCCATGCAATAACACCAGCATATCCCTTCGGCTTAGATAAGATTAAAGAGTCCCTGCATCATTCTATCCTATGTCTATTCAATCCTCTTTACTATGCATGCTTTGAACAAAACTTATTAAATTGATTTAATGTGGATAATCTTCGATAGACGATGGCAAGATCCCACCCCACCGACGAGCAATAAGGCTTCGGGAATAAGCATGTCAACGCCATTTGTCTATGCCAGAAGTGAGTTGAAGGTTTCGCTGTAAACCCTACATAAATAGCCATTGGTTGTATGCTACAATTTTTATACTTCATCTAATATAGATAAAAATATTATTATGGGCAAAATTTTAAGGAAATCAAACATTTATATCCAATCTTTTGCGAAATCATAAATTCCGATGAATTACATATTCATATCAGGTTTCTGGCCGACTTGTTTAGCAAGTTATGACATATATAAGCGTTGGAAATTGTGACCCTCTCTGGGTGATGTACCAGAAAGGGTTGACAAATATATATATCATCTTCACAATAGATCTTGCGTTAGCAAGAAATATTTGGAAGTATGACATTTGAAAAGAGTGGTATAATTATCCCGCTTTCTTTGAGCGTTTTGTTTTTCAAAAATCTTGACTCCTATGAGGGGGAGGTACCAAAGAAAATGGTCCGATCTTTATAGCAGGTCTTGTGTTGATGGAAAAATTGAGATGTACCAAGTCTAAATGGAATCGGATGTTAGTTTCGTGCTTTATGAGGTTCATGCATACTCAAAATGGATCAAATCGGAAACTTCCTTCGATAGTTATCGTGTGCACTAGCCAGAAAGACGGACGGACAATTTGTTGCGGGAGGGCTTGGTACCTATTACCATTAAAAATGTGGATAAAATTGACTATTTTCTGTCGGAGGTATTGGATACTATTACAAACTTTACGTACTGGCTTCCAGTCAAATCCATTGAAAAACGATAATTACTGACCTATATATGTGAAATTTTCTACCAGAAGTATAACTACGCATTACGATCTTTAGGTGGGTATCAAATTTCAAAGAATTCTTACTTTGTTCCTCAACTTGCAAGCATGTTAAAATCTCACTAGGACTTTTCCTTTATGCAGGTATATCGGTTATTTGGGGTTATCATCATATGTGGGCCCATACGATATCCTGGACAGATGTAGCCCATCTTTGAACTTGACATGGCATGTAATGGAGGGTATAAAGATGCAGTTGTTTGGCTATTGTTTCATCATATCAATTGATATAAATGGCCATGCTGAAGGATTCTATTTCTTTCCCCTTGTATACCGCTTTTAACATACCATACGTTGTCATTTTTAATCGAAAGACTTTCCATTTATGAATCAACGAAAACGTCAGCTTAAATAACAACGGTATATTAAGTGATTCTTCTTATTCCAACCAAACACTGCCAAGGTTGTTGCTATTCATCGTAGAATAATAGCAAACATAGAAGTTTATGTTCATTTTGAAACGCCTAAAGATAGACACTGAAATAAGTACATAAAATAGCTTTATTCCTTTACGAATAATAATCTTCAATTCTTAGATTTTTTACATTTTACTAGAATAGCATTACTTTTTGCATAAAAAATAGTGAAACATTAAAGCAAATTTCATAGGAATGCAAAAGCATATATCGTTCTCTTCTACTAATTTTTACTAGACATCTTTGGCCGAGTACCAAAATAGTATTTTTTACAAAATGGTTATTTTTCTCATATCTTTATTGTACATTTTGCATGGAAGTTATTTTTTGGCTAGCCAGGAAATGGTTTCGAGTTTCTGTGCTCGTCCATAGAATCTGTGTTAGGATTGTAGCTTTGATATATTAACCAATTTTGTGTTCTCCAACTTTCTGGTAAAAGATGAAGTTTTTAATCGATTTTCAAAAAAGTTATTTAGTAAACCTTTTGAATTTCCGTGTTATTTTGTTAGGTTAGGCGTTAGGTCAACTCCCGCAAAAAGAAAATATTTTATGTAGGAATCATGGTACAATGATATCAAGGTAGGGCTATGATACCATATGATTTTAATTTTTTTATTTTCTTGGCCTAATATGTCATCTTTATTTGTTTATGTATGTGTTTTCTTTTCAATAACAAAAAATTGTTCAGAAAAAAATGCAATTTCGGGTGTTTTCAAAATGTTCATTTCAACGCATGCATCGGCAAAATCTAGAGTTTTTGTAGCGAAATAATCCTTTAGAGATATATAGTACATGATTTTGAAAAGAAGTGTTGACCTTTCATTCAGTTATCGCGGTTTTCAATTATTTATTCAAAATAAATGCAACAAGTTGTTTGATTTTTTATTGTTTTGATACTAATTCTGACATTTCAAGCCAAACAGGTAGACCTCTATACTTGCAATTTTTTCAATTTTTTGACCATTCTTGATCAGCCTAAAATTCTAAGACGATTCCATCCGTCCGTCTGTTGTAATCACGCTAGAGTCAAAACGAATAATGATAGGATTCTAAAATACACAGACCAGTCTATCGTCTGCAGGCATGTCAAGTTCGAAGATGGGCATACAACGGTACCCCCGATATTCGGAATTTTGATGATTTTATCCACATTTTCCAATGGAATTGTCTGAAAATCTACAAAAGGAGCTTTTCGTGACTACTTTAACTCCTGGAAGATTAAGGTCTATATAGTTCCACGATATCGTATATCACCCATATAACGGAACCTCCCTGTTTTCGATATTTTGATGATTTTAGCTACATTTTTCAATGAATTTGTCTAAAAATCCATACTAGAAGTTTTTTCCAAGGGAGTAACCCTGGAAGAGAAATGTCAACGATATCGTAATAGCCCACATACAACGGTACCCCCAAAAATAGATATTTTACGATTTTATTGACATTATTCACCGGAGCTGTTTCAAATTTCATATTTGGAGTTCCTAATGGGAACTACAGTCTATGACAGAAAATTGTGTTTGCAGGCCCAGGTCTTCGTATAGGGCCCATATATCAATCCCTCCCTATATTCGATATTTTGATGATTTGAGCCACATTTTTCACCGGATTTTTTTTTCAAGTTTCGTATTCGAATATTGTAATGGCTTATGACCAAAGTTACCTATGCTGGTCCACGTCTTCGCATAGACTCCAATATAACGGCTGTATTCGGTATTTTTTAAAATTTTAACAGAATATCTTCTCCAATTTTCTTCAAATTACAAAGAAATATACATTAATAAATTAAGTCCAATAATTTATTTTACGAATATTTTCATTTTCAAAAATATATATTTATTGCCACACCTTCTACTCATTTTTAAAACAAATAAAAGACACTTGAATACTTTACAGCCAAGACACCAACAAAAACACTAATGGAGGTAGATAAAGGCTTAGCAGGAAGGACGATGAAACACACATTTAAAGTCCACATAACATTGATTTCTTCACTTCTCCTACAGCTAGCTAGGTGATGAAAGGAACCTGAATATCAATAATGCCTGCGCTAGGATAAAATAGAAAAAGTAAGACTTACAAATTAATATAAGAATATTATTAAAGGAAAATCAAAGTATTTGAAAATACTTTTGATATAGGGGGGCAAAATCATGCATTTGATGATATCGAGACAAATTTTCGATTAAAATTGATTTCTGTGTGCCCATTTTAGATTAATAAAAATAGAAATAATGTTAAAAAACAAATGCGAAAATTTAAATTAAATCATGGCTAAAATAGGCATATTCAAATTTATTTTGATGTCGAATGAGAGAATTTTGCCCCCCGGACAGGAGTAAAAATGCAGCAGCTAATTGAAATCAAAGCCAGGGGGATGTTGCAAAATCATGCATTTGATATCGAAAAACATTTTTATTATTATATCGAATGATAGAACTTTGCCCCCTGGCCAATAATAAAAATGCAGCAGCTAATTGAAAAATCAAAGCCAGAATTAAAGTTTGGTTTTTTAGTAGATTTTTTGTATTTATTATTTGTATTCATAATTGTTCTGGTTCATATATATAACGCCAAAAGCACAAACAATCATTTATTTTTTGTTTTTGTTTCTTTGTATTTAGGTAAAGTTTTACTTTTAATACTTAAACAAGAGAGGAAAAAAGGGGGGAAGTAAAACAAAAAAAGTATATGTAAAACATAACACACATTCACATTATTATTATTATTAATGATGAAATTCAAAAAACAACAATATATATATTTTTGGTGAGGAGGGTCGGATTGGTGGGACTAATACAAATCAAAAACAAAGCAGCAAACAGCAGATTTTGAAAGCAAAAAAATTATATATTAACATTTCGAAATAATAATACTTTTAGAAAATAAAAAGAAAAACAAATACAAAGAAAGGAGGGGGGAATGGTTACATTTTTTTTTCTTAAAATAAAATAAAAGAATAATAAGGTTTAGCAGAAAATTGTAGAATTGTAATTTGTCAAATAATGAAGCTGTGTTCAAAAGCGTTTTTCTGTTTTTTGTACAAAACAGGGGAAAACAGCAGTGAGCCTTGGTCCTTTTTTTATTGATTTATAAAAGAGTAATAATAATTTCCCACGTTTTTTATTTATTTTTTTCTATATATTATGATATTTTATATTTTTTAATTAAAACATTTAGATAATTAAGTAATTTGTTTTCCAAAGAAAGAAGAAGAAGGGAGTGAACAAAAACCCGCTTAAAGACGATTTAGTGAGAATAATAATAACAACATGGACAACTACACACCGTTACAACAACTAAGATAACGACAAAGAGAAATGGAGTTATTTGAAGAATGTTGAGAGAGAATGACAAGCGCCGCAACATGCACACACACACTATTCAAAGAGCGATATTTGTTTTTTTTTTTTTCAAAGAGAGAATGTTACATTTCCTTAGATTTATCGTATTTGCTCTTTCCAATACTCTACATTAAGTCTAGAGAAATTATTGAAAATGTATTTTTTTATGATAATCAAAATTTCTTTAAACTAAACATAAAGGATGCTGTTATTGAAAAGTTTGGAATACAAGAAATCTAAGTTCTATAAAGAAATTAAGAGATGGCTGATGTTGTTGGGGACCATGGGAGAGGCAAACGTGTGTTTTCCCCTGGAATTAGTTTTGGGGGGTTTTATATCATTTACTGGCAGTTTTAGTTATTTTTAAGTAACGCCTTTTGAATAATAATTTTGATGTTTCAGAGGTGGTGGTACAAAAAAATCACAGCTTTCCACAAACAAAATAAAAGAAAAATAAGAAAAAAAAACAAAAGAAACTTAAAAATAGTCAACGACATAATTAAAGTAAAGGAAAAGGAGTGGATACAATTTACGATTTTTAGTTTTAGAAATTAACCATTTTTTTTGTACAGGAATGTATGTTTTTTTTGTAAATGATTAATTTTGTCTTTTTTTTCAATTGTATATCAATTGTAAGGTATTTTTCGTTTGTAAGTAGTAATAGATCATAATAATAGTATACGTAAATATGTTTAAATATATGTATAACTGATTTTTGTTTTTTTTTTACTTTAAACTATTTTTGTTTGTGTTATTATTATTTGTAATATTTATATAATTTTTTTTAAACAACAAAAACGATTCTTTTTAGGTTTTCTTCTTTTTTTCAATATATATATATAGTATAATGTATTTCTGCTATGTTGTTACCTTAAAACCTTTATTAATAATGCCTTTCAATAGTATTTGTTTTCTTATTTCCTTTTTTTAAGTTTTTTTGGTTGGTTGGTTAGTTAGTTAAGTTGTTATATATCCCGTTTGTGTTATTGTGTTTAATAATATCGTTTTCATGAGTTATGTTTTTCTATTTTTCTTTGGGGTTGGCTTAAAACCATATATGGAAATTAATTTGCTATTGCTAACAAATTTTAGTTATGGCCTCGGATGCATTTACATGCCACTTCTCATTTGGCTTAATTATTAAACAAAACAATAACTTATTTGCATTAAGCGGGGGGAACAGACAAAACAGAGGGGTTATTATTATTATTGAACGGCATTTTTTCTTGCTTTGCATTTACTTGATTGGTTATTGCTGCTGTTGTTGTTGTTTTTGTTATAATAATTACTTTTTTGACCATTTTGTGTTTTATTAATATTATTATTGTAAGCTAAATAAATTTATGCACACAAGAGGGGGGAGGAGGGAGGTGGTGGTTGGAGGAAAATAAAAATTATTGAAAGATACTTAATCGGCAAATTTACGGTTGACGTTACGTCCGAACAGGGCGTTACGTATTTCGGGTACCAATTGTTGTGAAATCAATTCCAAGCGGGATTCCAATGTGTTGGGTACCTGAAAACAGAGAGAGAGAAGGAGAAGAAGACAAGAAAGATTTTATTTATTTATTTCATACAATTCAATATAAAACTAGTCTATAACAAAGTTAAAAAATTAAAAACTCAAAACAAAAATCAACAACAGAGAATTAAAATTAGATATAATTAGACCCTCAAAACAGATTCGAATCCTTCCAATATCCTAGTTGAGAAACAATTAGAATATTAATACCAGGACAAAGGTGACAAAGTAAATATTACCTCAATCTTATAGAGGAGAGCATAAAAAACTAATTTTCTCTGGAATGAAAGCTTTGGAAATACAAAAAAAGGAGGAAGGAAAATTCAAAAGGGGCCGACAATATGATACCCTACACCACTATGCATATTTAGTAAATTTGATGTACTTGCCTCTAGACTGAATTCGGTGGGATGTACTAAAATTCAGGTCATTTGGACTTATATTTTCCATTTGGTCCACAATTACTACGAAATCGGTTGAAGATATATGGGAGCTATTCTAAATCTGGTCCGATTATCACCAATTTCAATAGGGTTCGTCCTTGGACCAAGCAAATATTGTTTGGAAAATTTCATCTCAATCGGATAATAAATGCGACCTGCATTTTGTTCACAAGAATGCATGGACAGACGAACGGACGGACGGACGGACTGACATGCATAAATCGACTCAGAATGTGATTCTATGAAGATCCACAAAAGTAACTATGGGTCTATCTAGTTTCCTTCCCCATGTTACAAACAAATGCACAAAGACATAATACCCATACCACTATGTAGTGTAGGGCATAAAAACTGAACTGACCGACGGGAATTAGGAAATTAAAAAATCGGAAACTTTAGACAATTACATATCTTCAAAAAATAACAACATTCAATGTTCGAAAGTCTCAGGAAGAGCTTCAAGTCACTAATACATTTAGTCGAAAAACATCTTCGAATGTCTGAATACAATTTAGAATTGCAGATCATAACAGTCGAGTTTGGTGTCTAAAAATTTCCTCTTTTTGGTTCTGTGCCTCTATAATAAATTTAAGTAAATTAGGGAAATTGTGGAATCTGTTTAAGTCGTTTTTCGAACCCGAACGGTATCGTTATTTGGACAGAACAAAAAAATGAAGAGATAGTTTACAATTGTTTAAGCCTATATTCACTGTTTATCCACTCACTTTTTATTATTTTATTGAACTGAATTGCTATTTTTAAAAGCTTCAAAAATATTTAAGTCTGAAAAATCAAGTTCAACTAACACCCTCAAGGCCGGTTTCTCTATGACGATACGAGCGCTATTTCGAACAAAAGATACCATTCCAAATATGATTTTAAAATGTTTGTTTTAATTAAAAATTTCAAATATTTGAAAAACCTCACTTGGAATGGTATTTATTTTTTGGTATTCTTTTTCGTTTCGTCATAAAGAGACAGTCTCTTAATTTCATATTCAAAATAACACTCACCTTGATGCGACCATTCAGGGCAATCAATTCAATGCCACCACATGTATCGGCAGGCAAGTAGTTGTCCGTATCAACATCAACACTAACGCCTTGGTTCATCATTTGCTTTTTGTATTCCTCAACGGCGGCTGGCAGAACTTCATTGACAAGACCAACATCAACTTGGCGGCAGCGCAAAATGACCGTGGGCTCCATGGTTTGGAACAAGGCTTGCAAAATCAACTTTTCCAAAACAACTTTGTATTCGGCTGGATTTTTGGTGACTTCACCCAAGCGGCGGCGGGCATCTTCCAAGACGCTGGCAACATGATCTTCACGTACTTTAAGGACCTATGGACATAGACAGAAAATAAACATTATTCAACAGTGGAAGATATTCCACGTTTTGCATTTAAATGACTTACCTTCAAACGAGCTTGATTGAGCATGTTTGAAGATTGAATTTTCTTTTGCAATTCAACTTGTTTTTCCTTCTTTTCATAGTATTCCATGATCTTGAGACGTTGTTGTTGTACCAAACGACCCTTCTCAATGTTGAATTCTTCTTCGGCTTTGGCATCGATTTCTTCAGCCTTCTCATTGGCCTCTTGTTCGATGAAAGCCATCATGTGTTTGATCTGTAATTAAACATGGGATATTATAGGAAAATAATGGATTGTATTGAAATGGAATTACAAGGTAATTTTGGATACCTTTTGGGAGTAAGAAAAGGCGAGTTTAATAGGTTAGTTTGAATATCCATGATAGTTACAAACATAACTTAATGAACCATTATCATTGAATCCCATTTTTCCTTTTTAACATCCATTTTCACATTTTCCGTTTTTCTTCTTTATTGTCCTAATTTTGTAAACATTGGCGCATGTTGACAATTTAGGCCGGTTGAAGGCTACATAGTATTCGGCATTAACACTTCTATGTGTTTAACATTATTATTTGCATTATATAATTCCATTTATGGCAAAGAGTAAAAAACTTTTCTTGTTGACACATCTCCACCACATCAAAGATTTACATTTTTACTTCAGTTTTGTCTTCAGCAGTAGAAAAGACCATAAAAATTCCCTTAACAACTACTCCCACCATCCCCCTATAGAAAACAACAACAAAGCATGACTCTCTCCCTCTCTCTCTCTCTTAACAAGAAAAAGCAATTGCATACATTTCATTGCTGTCACTGATAACAGTATGTTAACGTTCAATGAGCGACTATTGCTATTTCACTCTCTCACACAGAGAGAAACCTACATTTTGATCACATGACTTCTGTTAATGTTTTTTCCTTCGTTTGCAATCTTGGGATATATTTTTCTACTCTGTAAAACAAAATAACTATACAAAAACATACAAAAAATCCAATAAGAATTTAAGTTTGGAGACAATTAACACTGAATTCCTATGCTACAAAAGATTCATGCTAGAGAAATAACACAAATTCTAGTAATTCAATTGTTGTTTGATTAATAAATGACAACAAATATTCACATGACATATCCCATGACTGCTGGGGCTAGTTACTTTTACGCCATCTTGCATTGTCAAAGAAAAAGCTTAACTTTTTTACAATTTGTTTTTTCATTGATAACTATTTTCCATTGACACTTTTCGTAAGGAACAATTGTGTTTCGTTTGATTTTTCTTCTTGGTATCCAAAAATCCTTATTTCGTTTCGTTTTGTGTATTTACCTGTTTTTGAACATCAGCGTCGCTTAAAGCCATTTTTGCAGTTTGTTCTGTTTTTCACTTTGTGGAGAAGAAAATTGGGAGGAAAAACAAATTTTCTGTTGGAAAATTCAGGCTGCTTCACACGCTTTCCTAAAACACACAATATTTATTAGATTTTCTTATCGTTCAATTGCAAGAATTTTCAATGATTATTTGCACTAAAATTTTTGGAATATTCACTTGGAAAAAGTATGTGGTTGTGTGCGCCTCAAGTTACGTCGGTCTTGTACAAAAAATTTCTGACTTTTAACTTTCAAGTCAAGTGATTGGTAGTTGTAAATATCCCATCATGTGAAAGGGAAATTTTTGGTAATTTTGACATCTGGCTGTGTTTGGTGGGTAAAATACAACTCTGTGTGAAGTAGAAGCTTTGTTGCCAAGACACAGGCAATAGGTAGGGTTGCCGAGTTGTTTAATACGTTATGTACTTTTACAGCACATAAACGTTGCTTAAGTTTTGCCCATAGTTTTTAATCGAAAAATCCAACTTTTTTCTAATCATTTATATATTTTTGAGATAATATATTTTAATAAGGAAAGCTAAGCTATCTCGCTAATCTTTCAAACACATTTTTGCATACTTTGAGAGGCAGTCCTCTATCGTCATGGCAACATTAATTGAAATAAATGCAGTATAAAACAAGTATTTATAAACGTATGAGAAAATATCCAGGTGAAATGTTTTATAGTGAGGCTCCATACCCCTTTGAGGTAGAATCTAAGATATTGCGCTTTATTTGACATATGATTTCATATATTTCAGGTCAACTAAATCACGTTGGAGCAGTTAAACGCAATAAAGATTTTGAATGTAAATATTACCTATGAATGTTATAAGTTCTTATTAAATGCAATTAAAATTCTTTTGTTTTCTTTAAATCATTTTACTATTTTTATATAAAATTAAGGTTTTTACAAATATATGCAGATAATTATATTACAAATATATTATAAGGATTTTGTATACATCAATAATTTTCTCAAAACTTAACATAAAACATAGCCCCTCTCAAAGTTATTATACACATTATTTTTATTGCAATTTCTGTAAATTTGGGATTCTGGCACGTTAACGTGATTGACACCCAAAGTCAATAAATTGTAATACAAGGTATATAATAATAGAGGGACTATTTAAGTATTAAGTTATTTATTGTTTTTTTTTGTTTTTAACATTTCGTTTCCAAAACTCAAATTGCCGAAAATTGGTTCCATTTTAACGATGTTTATCGGTATGTTTCGAATATTTAGTACGTAGTTTTTTTAATTGCTGAGAGCTGGTCCTTTGTATTGGAGATTTGGCTCTATATGTAGCTCTGTAAATAAAAAAATAAAAATTAATATATTTTATTTTAATATAGAGTTTAAAAAAGTGAATGATTCTCGTTTTTAATACAAATAACATTAAGGTCAACTTATGCCTAGTTAGAAGTTTTGTATAAATAAATGTCGTTTATTTGACATAAAATGTATGGACTTGACAGTTTAAACATTCGGTATAAATTTTCAAATTCCGTTTTTAAATACATAAAGTACGTTTTTTACCTATTACATAGAGTGGATATCAACTGTCAATTCCTTAACTTCAAACAAAATCGACTCTCATATTCAGCGAATTTAATTTGATGTATACATTTAATTGGCATTTGTAATTCACTAGAATTGTTAAGTGTGTACGATGTTATATTAGGTGTGTCTGGTTACTTTACCTGCAGGAATTGTCCAGCAAAATCTTTCTGAGAGAGTAAGGTAGTTTTATTCTCTTTTGCAAGGAAACTGCGAAAAGTAAACAGACGGCATTCCTGCAGAAGCTTGCAACTAATCAGCTGATTTGTCAAAACAAACCAATTTGTCCCACATTAAAAGAATTAAACGAAAGGAACCACCACCAATTTCACAAGTTTTATAAATAAAAAGGAAATTGACAATAAAATAAAAATATAAATATGGCATTTGTCTAAAAATGTTGGAAATAGTATTTTATTTTCTGATTACATATTAACATTTACGTTTTTCACATTTTGTAAAGTTGTTCTCCGAAAACAATTAGTCTTGCTAATTCTAAAACAATATTTTCAAATTAAAATCACAAAAAGAAATAAATAAACAATAGAAAACATCTGATTGAATGTCGATGAATGAGGAGAAGAAGAGTTGCAAGAAATTTGTCCAGCAAGAATTTGCAAACTCTCACTGAAAGAACTGTCAAAATGTCTCTCTCCAACCGCTCTCTTTTGCAGAACTTTCGGGTTAACAGACGACTTCCAGTAACAATTTGTAACAATTGTTACAAATTTTAGGGTAACCAGGCACACCTATTCAGTGGTATCATGGAAAATGAAGAAGGTGACCTCAATTCAAATAAGCATATTCAACTTTGCTTTGTGAACATACAAAGGATTTATCAATATACATTTTGACTGTGTTATGTTGTTAAAGGTATAGTATTATTTTTTATAAATTATAATGTGTAATTTTGTCATTTCGCACATGAATCATATTTTTTTTACTCATGTATTTCACAACTGCAAGACGTCCCTGTTTCACACGATATGTGTGACTTCTACATATGGAAAATGTGACAATAAGCATTCCGCCTTATACAGCCCTAAACTGTAACCTGAATGTTTTAAACACTTTTACATCGGCCACAAATCAGCTGATTTGCAATCATCATTGATGATTCTTACTGAGAAAATTAAAAGTAAAGAAACTACAAATTATCATTAACTCAAATGACAAAATTGTTTACTTCACTCGCTCTCACTTACTGAAATTTAATTAAAATCGAACATTTTGCAATAAAATACAAAGACATATTAACTTACTCATTACTGTTTCTTGTTTCCAACAATTCTCTGGCTGAATTCTTTGGTAAAGAAATGGTTTTTAAATTGTTCAGATATTTGCCAACAGTTTTAATCTCTTCTTCCAATTTCCAAACTAAAAAAAAATGTTATAAATAAATAAAAAATACAAAAAATATTACACAAATATTTTTAAACGAGGAACGTATTTAGTAGTCATTTCCAAAATACTTCTAAATCATAATCATTAAGGAAACGACAAAAGTCGGACCGACTATTGATACCTAATGCAGACATAGAAATATAAAGATAGGACAAGACAGAGTCAAAATATTGCAACCCTGTGAAAATACCTCTGTTGTTATGATATCCTGGGGAAATTTAACAAATCGGATGAAGAATATATATGCGAGCTATAGATATATCTGAACCGATTTCTATCAAATTTGACACACTAGATTCTAGGCTCAATTTAATTATATGTGCCAAAGGTCTTCCTTTTTGGGCTAACGTTACACTTTTGGTGCACAATAAAAGGCAAATCGGACGAAGATATATATGGGAGCTATATCTAAATTTTCACCGTTTATCTTCAATTTCAAAATTTTGGACCAAACAATTGTTTTGTGAAAAGTTTCATCTTGATTGGGTAATAAATGCTACCTGTACTTTGTTGTACAACAACTATGCACATGACAGAAGTGTAGCTAAAAAATATACAACAACAATAGGAAAAAATATGAAAAATATTGGGAAATAATAGGTGTGTCTGGATACCCCAAAATTTTTTATCAATAGTTGCAAATTGTTACTGGAAGTCGTCTGTTAACAAAAAGTTCTGCAAAAGAGACAGAGAGATTTGAGAGACAAATTTCGAGAGTTCTCTCACTGAGAGTTTGAAAAATCTTGCTTTACAAATTTCTTCTTGTAATCACTTGCAACTCTTAAAATTTTGAATACCCATGAAGCTCATAAAACGCGAAATTAACATCCGATTTCCTTTAGACTTAGCACAACTCAATATTTCCATCAAAACAGCATCTGTTATAAAGATGGCAAGGACCCGACTCTCCCTTATGGTAATTCCCCCACAAAAGGGTCGAAGGTCGATTAAAAAATCCGAAAAATAAACATTTGGCTCTGTTCATATTTCACACATCCCATTATTTTTACTAACACAACATCTGCTGTGAAGATGGAATATATCTGTCCACTTCTTGTGGTATCACCCCCACAAAGGGTCAAAATTTTTAGCATCCATGAAACTCATAAATCTCGAGATTAACATCTGATTCCATTCACACTTAGCAAAACTAAAACAACACAAGATCTGTTATAAAGATGGTAGAGATCGGACCATTTCTTCTGGTCCCTCCCTCACAAAGGGTCAAAGTTTTGAAGAACAAAAACGATCATAAAATCCGAAAAAAGCATCCGGTTCTAGTCAAATTCCACACAACACAATATTTTTATTAACTCAAAGTCTGGTGCGAAGATGGGATAAATTGTTCCACTTCTTCTGGTACCTCCCGCACAAAGGGTCCGAATTTTGAGTACCCATGAAGTTCATAAAACACAAAATTAACATCCGATTCCAATTAGATTTGGTACATCTCAATACTTCCACCAACACGTGAACTGTTAAAAGATGGTCAGGTCGGACAATTTCTTCTGGTAACTCCCCCACATAGTGTTCAAGATTTTTGGAAAACAAAACGAAATTAGCATCCAACTCTCTTCAAATTTCACACATCCAAATATTTTTGCTAACGCAGGACCTGTTGTGAGGTGATATATAACTGCAAACCCCTTCTGGTACTTCACCCACAAAGAGTCACAATTTTCAATACCTTTATCTGTCCTAACTTGTGAAACAAGTCGGCGATTCTTTACAACTTGCCATACCTTAATATTTCTACTAACCAGAAATCTGTTGTAATTTATCGGAATTTATGATTTCACATAAAATTGAATATTAATGTTTGATTTCCTTAAAATTTGGCACATACCAATATTATTATCTGTATTAGATGAGATATGAAAATGGAATACTTTGGTCCGCTATATCTGTTACCTCACGCATATTTCTACGAATTGGTCAATAATGACCAACTGCTTCGGAACCTTTCCCATAAAGGGTCAACAGTTTGAATAATCATAACTCAAGGCTGGGGGAATATATATTCAAATTCGGCAAAACCGACTGGTACTTTACAATTTTGGAATTGAACATTTTGAATGAAAAATTATTTAAATTTTTAAAATTTGTTGAAAACGCGTATTATAATAAACTCCAAATGACTTCGTATAATAAAACATATAAAAATCTACTTATATTTGAAAAGACATTTAAAAAAATTTTGACATATAAAGCGTTGTTCCCAAACGTTGATGCACCTACCGGTATTCTTCTACCATGACAAAAATATAATGCCCTGCAATACATTGTGGTGTAAAAAACATGGCATAACTTACCCTTCTCTTTGAGCATTTCCTCTGA